CCCCCTTCTCCCCCTTCCGCTTCGCCTCCTCGTTCGACCGAGTTCTTTCTCCCTTCCTCGTCCTGTCTATTTTCTTCTTTTCCGCCAAAACTCTCCGCTGCCGTTCATAGGGGGTGTTTATGCGTCATAATATGTTAAACCGAAAACAAAACCACAACAACCCGCTGATTTCTGACACTGTTATTGTTCGGCCTGCTGCTGCTGCTCTTACTTTCCCTCGTGTCCTCTCATCGCCGGATCTCCGCATCTGATTTCTGCGCCTCTTTGTCGTAGGAGCCGCTTCTCATTTTTGTTTCCCAGGAGAAAGGGAGAGACCAGGAGAACCTTTGGTGCGAATCGAGAGAAAGCAGGGAAGGGACCGCGCATTAGGTCGACTAACCTTTTTTTGTTATAACATTTATTTATTTTACCGCCTGTGATTATCTTACGATACGGATAGCGTTTTTTGGGCATCTATCATACCTTTACCTATTTACCTTACATACCATACCAGCTTTTATCGTAACTACCTACCACTGCAACCAACCACCACCTTCCACTCCTGTCACAGGGGAAAAAGACGTTTTGCTGTGCCGGCCGGTGGAAGAATAGGAAAAGAGATCGTTCGCTTGGAGCTTGGAATCAACGAACCGAGTGAAAGAAGAAGCATAGAAGGTTAGGAAGAAGGAATAATCTAATTATAAAAGGTACGGTGAAAAAAAAGGCACATCTGCAGCGGTAAGCATGGTCTTCCTATTCCTTCATTACCATTTCTTTACATTTTTTTTGGCGCCCAGGGTGCGGTGGACCAAGTAGATTATTGGTGGGGGAGTATTTGGCAGGTTGCATGCGATGTTCATCGTCGCCGGGGGTTGGCTATGGGCTGCGGCGGATGCTTATGGATGCTCCCGGACGAATTGGCTGTTCTCTTTCTTCCCTTTTCCTCTCTCTTTCCTTTTCTCTTTTGGGCTGGGGGCAGGGAAACGGGACTACTCCAGTTATCATACAACGACAGTCACGCTAATAATTTGTGTTTTTCTCACCTCTCAGCTCTCAGTGTCACCGAAAGTCCACAGGAGAAGCCCCCCGAAAGACAGGAAAAAGAAAAGAAGGGAGAACGAACAATCAAAATAAAAATAAAAATAGGAATCCATATTCCGAGCAGAGGGAGAAAGAAAAAAAAAGGGAACAGGATCGGAAAAACAAAATATACCGACGACCACCTTTTCAACGAAGGATTTCTCGTTTCGCTCCGCTTCCGCTCCTTATTTACTCCCCCCTATTATTTACACCCCACTTTTTTTTTTTTTTAATCCCACCCCCTTTTTGCGCCGTACATATCCTTCGTACAGATACACACATTTTAAATACATCCTACATCTGTAGCGTGTTGATCCCGTAGGTTGCCTTGTCACTGTCCTCGCTTCCTTTTTCGCGGGTCGTCGGATCGATGCTGATTCCCTCCCGTTCGTTCGTCAATAGCTATCAACAATAACAATAAACAACCCCTCATCCTCCCCGTCGTTACTATCGAGAAATCCTCCTCGACAACTCAACAACCATCAGTCTCGGACGAGGGACTCAGTTCCACGGCGATAAAATGGACCCCGTGGAGTGGTCTCGCTGCATGGCGAACATCTTCTTCGCCCACGGCGATCCTCAGGGCGACCTTCAAAAGTTTCGCCATTTTATTCCTCCTTTCGTACTGAGGACTTTTTGCGATACACAGGACCAGGATGTATGGATGGTTTACGACCATAACCAAATGTACCGCCTCAACCTCCTCCGAGTGCTCTATTCTCTTCTTTTCGCAGAGGGAACAAGCTCGTGAAAAGAATGGAATAGAGCACGGATTTGCTGTCGGATGGAACTTTTGGGGTTATATTGATTCTAACGTTTGTTTTTCCCCCAAATCTAGGCCGGCTGAACCCGGGATTTTGATCATCTACAAGCCGGAGGCGAAGGAGTTCGAGAAGCGACACTGGAGTGAGACCTTTGGTGCCGAGAATATCTACGCTCCGTACTTTGACAACCTGACTACGGAGACTTGGATGCGGGAATCGTTCCGCAAGTTTGAAGTTCTGAAGACGGTTGATCGGGAGATATTCAATGGATTAGTGGACCCCATCTGGCAGATTCATCAACAACAGCCCTCTGGAACCATTCCCTTGATTCGTGGCGACCTCTATCAGCTACGGAAATTTCTCTTTCTCATGACTTCTCAGCACAGCAGGGACAAGACTATGCATTTGCTGGCCCACGACCCAACCATGGAGGATGCGAGAGTTAGACGGAGGAAGTTTATTGAGGCACACCGCATGGAGCATCCTAGGGACGTTTGGTTGGGTAACGCGGAACAGATCTTGAACTCCCGGCACTCGGACATTCAGGGCAATATGGATATCTTTGACTTGGATCGGGAGAATTATCGTGTGAATGCGAAGGAGAGGTTTTTGGTGTTTTGGGAGGCGGGACCCGGCGAGGAGTTCATCTTGACCGAGAATGCTTTTGGGGGGTTTGAGGGCGGTCAGATTGGTGCGAAGAAGAATTCGCAAGTTAGCTTAAGGGCGAGGGAACTCGAACAGCACCTTTACACCCGGGATTTCATGTGGCATCAACTCTATGTTCTTTCACCGACCTTGGTCGCCGCACTCTGCCATGGCACTTTAATGCATCCCGAGCTTACCCGAAACCAGAGGAAGCGTTATGGTCTGAGGCGTTCTATCTTGGAAGGCTTGCCGCATGATATTGCGCCCAAGTATTACAAGGATATGAACAAATCGGATGCGTCGTTCATCAAACCGAACTGGACTTTGCCGGCCGAGGTTGAGAGGGCTTTTGGTGCCAATGTGTCATTGGAGAGGAGGAAGGATGATGAGATTTTGTTCCCTGTTCAGCGGCTGACGCCAACCCAAGTTGCCCTGGTCAATAGTGTGCTCCTACACAATCAGCAGTCTGGCGCAAAGGTCAAATCGGTTTGTTGCAGGTCTCCCCCGCAATACCAGTCTCTCTACCAGTCATTGGTTCAGTTCCATCATAACCAGTGGCACAAGTACTCCGAGGAAGAGCAGAACGATTATTCCCCATTGACCGATAGGCTCCAGGTGTACCTCAATCCTGAACCTATGGCTGCCTCGAGCCAACTCCAATATGCCCAACAATATGCCCAACAGCAACAGTTCCCAGGGCATCACCCCATGCTCGATCCGCAATATTCCATGCCGGTGCCCGATCCGAGGCGACTCTTTGCCGAGGGAGGACACGCTCTCTCTGTTCCCGAACCCCCCAAATACGAGCCCATTCATGTTGATATGCGTCCGGCCCACCTCCGTGCCAATAGCCATTCTGCCCCAAGCCAGACATCCTATCACTCGTCTGGGACTTCTTCGTTTGCTCCCTCCTCCCAGTCTTCCCATGGATACTCCTCGGGCTCCAGTCAGTCCTCCACCAGTACTCGGACCACTAGCATTGACACCCCCCGTCTCGAGCCCAAAGAGATCGCTCTTGACAAGAGCCGTCAGTCCCCAACCCGCAAAGCCGAACAACCCTTGGGCCGGCGTCCTTCTAATTCCCAACCTGAACCTGCGTCACGTGGAAGCGACGGTAGTGGGAAGGTGAGGATTGACAAGACAAAGCCAAAGGTGACGAACACGGTCCCGGAACGTATTGAGATTCTGGGGGAGCGCACCGGTGTCATTTCTGAGCGGGGAAGGCAACTCGATCCTCCCAAGATTGAGCAGTCCAGATCAAAGAAGAATAGCCCCAATCCTGGCCCAGACCGCCTGGAGTTTGCCGCATCAGAGTTGAATAAGACCCGTCGGCAGGATCCTGTGATTGAGCACCGCCAATCATATCCCAAGTCCAGTGCTCTTCCCGAGCGTCCTATTTACGTGGTTGAATCTGTTAGGCCGAATCCACCTGAGAGGTCAAGAACCGATCAGCCCGGAGCTCAGTGGGGAGGCACTTTCACTAAGCAACAACAGCAGCAACAACCACAGACCCAACCACAGAGACCCGCTGTGGAGCGCATGCCCCAGAGTAGTGATGGCATGAGGCAACGCAAGTATGAGATTATCCGACCCTCGCAGCATCAAGCTCAGCAACACCAAACTCTGTATCAGCCCCAGCCTCAACGCCCAGCCAATGAGCGCACATCTCAGAGCAGCGAACATGTCAGACAGCGCCGCTACCAGTCGGTCAGATCGGAGGAGCAGCAGCATACCGCTCACCCTCCGACCCAGCCTCAGAGACCTGTCGAGCGCACGCCGCAGAGTAGCGATCATGTCCGTCGGAGCCAATATCAAACTGTCAAGGTCGAATACAGTCAGCCACAACCCCAGAAGCCTCTCGAGACTCCTGCTGAGCGAAAGCCCCAGATTATCGATACCTCTAACAGAGATAGAGGAAGGCAGTATGAGGTTAGGACCGAGCCTGGCCAGGTTCAGAGACCCTCCAATCCTTCGACCGATCCCTCTCGCCCCGTTGAGCGTAAATACCAGGTCGTCATGCCGGAGCAACACGTTCACGCTCAAGTAACTGTCAATAGTAGCAACACCCACAGCCAGCGTCCGATCACCAAGCCAGATAACTCAAGGGTCTATCACCATGTCCTAAAGCCCGAACAACCAAAGCAACAGCCCCAAGCACAAGCCCAACAGCAGCAGCAGCAGCCGCAGCAGTCCCAGGCCCCGCCTCCACCGCCTCCGCATCAGCACCTAAAACCAGTCATCTCCCACGATAGCCAACCCCTCGTTACGGATGAACACAAGGGTCGTCGATTCGAAGCCTCGGAGCAAGTTCAGCAGACCGAACCTCAACGGATTGTAAACTCGTCCGCAGAGCGAACCATGCGTCCAGGAGTCGAGATAGTGAGACCACATGTTCTTGAGCCCACCAGAGCCACCGAATCCCGTGCTCAAGAGCCAGCCCGTGTTGTGTTGGAGAACCCGAAGATGAAACACCTCCGCTTCGAGACCGCGGGCAAGACTCTTACCCACAAGCACTCAGATTCCAGCCTTGCAGGATCCATGGTTGTTGAGATTGGTGAGGTTGATGAGAGTCAAGTGAGTGATGGTGATGAGGAGGAGAGCGGTGATGAAGAGGGAAGCTGGGAGGATGAAGGTTTCGGAGAATTGGAGGAGCTCAGCAAACCCCGCAAACCAACTGTTCGATTTGCTGATCGCCCTCTTTCGAGGACTGGTGGTCGTGGCATGCACGCTGAGCGACCATCTTCACGTTTGGGACGACGAGTGGAGATTGCCAGACCATTGTCTAGGAACAGCCAGCGGGTCGAGAATGCCAGAAAGCCCAGGACCGCTCATGCACACCGTTGATCCGCATGTGAAGGTTAATGATTCTTTCGCCCTTCATTCGCCGGATTATCACTTGTCCCGTTTTTCCCGTCACCTGCATCTTCTTTTTATTTTTCTCACTTTTTTTCATTCTTATTTCCCCGATTCAGCCTTAATTACTCCCATTTTTCTTTGCACTCCTCTGTTTAATTTTTTATTATTGTTTCGCTTAAATTTATGTTTTCTTTTTTGTCAATGGTAATCCATGAGGTCAAAATCTTGTATCAGGCGTTCGTGTGTGGGAAAAGTCATGTATCTCGTGGTTAATTATGTATCTGTACGCGGCGGAGTAAACGGGGTTCGGGGAAGGGGGAGGGGAAGGGGTTGGTAGGAGCTAGGGCATTTCACGGTTATAGACAGAGGATAAAGAAAAATTAGGGCGAGGTCATTTCTATTGTTTCGGGGAAATGTTTTGGGAATTTTAGCATTAAGCAGCATAAAGGCAGGGGTTTCTCGGTTTTGTTTTCTTTTCTCTGTATTTCCTCATGGTGATTCCCCATTTCATTAAAGGTGTACTTTCATGTAAGAGCTGGAAATATTTTGGAGCTTTTTTTTATTACCTTCTCCTTTCCCCTTGTCATTTCCATCATCTTTTTTTACTACTAGTCTAGGGAGGGTTATATGTTTTATGTGTTCCATTCCTTCCATGATACCTTTTTCTTCCCACATGCAGGACGGGAAGGACCTTTCTCCTTTTCCATTTTTATTCATATTTTCCCTTAGGAATACCGGAGGATTTTTATTATTATGGTTGTTTTAGTGTGGTAATTAGTCCTGGCGACGATGATGGCATATTACGGATATAATGGGATATTGAATGGAATATTGAACGCTTTGAAGGGCTTCTTTTCCCTTCCCCCCCAAAGCTCTCAGTGCGTCGCGCCCAGGTGACCTCTGGTGCTGCCCTACCCTTCGTCTCACTTGGATTAGGGGGTTCGAGGTTCGTGGTATGATTGCTGTATGATGCGATATCATACAAACCGAGTGCTGTGCTGTGAATGGCAGCCTTGGAAACGCCAGTGTCTGGTACCGCTTTGAACGTTACCTGCATGAACGAACACCCACCGATACGGGTGTATATTGGCTTTGTGTCTTCATTCCATTTTCCCCCGGGTGGCGCCATCACCATATCTTGACCGAAAATATTAGTCTTTGCCGCCAGCCGTCCATTTGCTAGTACATGACACCGTGCAATAATTTAGCTCGATAGTGAAAGGCGCCAATCCCGATCTCGACCCGCGATGATGACGAATCTCGATATCCCGCAGAATCATCTCTCGGAACTCCCGCTACGGGAGTATCATAATTACCGGCTGACATGCTCGCCCCAACTCGGCAGACAGACAGGTCAAGAGAATCCCAACACCGGCTAAGGAGATCCAAATACTCGGTACATCAGCATCCGGTGGGTCGATCTCGTGCCGTGTCTCGGAAAAGGGTGATGAGGAGGGTTTTCTCTCTTGGACCCGATGCAATAGCTAGTTAGTGGGTTCGGTTGGCGGAGGGTATGGCAATGGTAATGGAAATCGAGGGATTTTATGGGTATTTGTGGAATCACTCTCTGGGACTTAGGTTTTTTTTTCTTTTTTTTTTTTTCTTTTCTTCCATTACTTTATCCTGCTCGTTGTGCGCGTGTGTCCGGTATCTATAGGTGATGTACTCGTACTGTACAGCACGGGCTTGCTTCAACGGGTGTGTGTGGGGAATTGAACGATGGTGTAGTGCTTGCTTCCGGGCTCGGTGTGCTGAGTATTATAATATCATACCTCTTCACGAAAGAAGGTTTACCGGAGGTGGGAAGTTTTAAAGTTCTCGGTGCGATGCGTGGAAGGAAGGAAGGAAGGTGGAGAGAGGGAGAGAGAGAGAGGTGTCGGTCCGGTTGAGGAGCTTTTCCTTTTTTTTTTTTTCTTCCTTTTTGTTAAATCCCATGGTTTTATTTGTAGCTAGGCATAGGGAAAATCCGTGCGTGGCATTCACCCGAAAGTATGGCCTAAAAAACCCATTGACAAAAGAAATCCACCCCTGTCCAGCGTATCCCAATCCCCCAGTCCCCCTGGTCTGGAACCAACCACCCATCCTCCCCAAGAAACTCAAAAAAAAGGCAGGCAGAAAAGGAGACACCACCAGTAGACACCGAAATAAGCAATTCTTTCCACCCTATTTTCTTGTCCGTAGCCCTGGCCAGCCTGGAAGTACTGGCACAGAGAGAGAGGGGGGGTAGTGTTCCCGGAGGATACTATTCTAGCACACTGCATGAAGCTCCAAGTTCTGCAGCCAGGCAGGATCGTGAGATTGTGTTTGAGGTGTTAGACCCAGATCGGAGGAGGAGGAGGAGGAGGAAGGGTTGGTAGAGGTACGATACCGGATATCAAGAGATTTTTTTCTACAGTATCATAACCGGTACTCTAGCAGTCACCCTTTGGCACACTGTCCTTCCTAAGTTCTTCTTTTCCATTCCGCGTGTACGGTACCGTATACAGTAACTAGTAGTAGTACCAACCAAGCATCAACCGAGTGATGAAGATGAGTAAATAAATAACTGGTCGTACCCCCCCGCCTTTACACTCGGTGTACCGAGTAACCTCCTCGCTGGGTCCGTTTCAAACTGGGGGGAAGATTGGTATTATACTTCTCGGTACATGGAAGGCACAGGTGTTTTCGGCAGAGGTGTGTTTGTTATTTCTTGGAAATACTGTCTGGATGCAGTAAGCCTTCCGGCAAGGGGTGAGGGAGGTTATCTACCACCCACCCACGGTATACCGAGTACGGTACAGTATTGCGTAGAGGCACCGTATTATGCAATCGTTTCATTTCTCGAACCCCCCCCCTCCCTGTTGAGATCAACAAGCACGGGGCGAAGCGAGAGGGGGAAAGAAAAAAAAAATTAATTTTCGAGCTAACGTGATACACCTGTTCCCGTGGGGGTGGGGGGTAAGTTAGTTTATACGGGTGAGGTTCAAAAGGGTATCATATCGTACATGTGCTTTTATGTGGTACTGCATTGTACTGTACTGTACGTTGTTTATTGTATCATGCTGTCATACTCTGTTTGTACTGTACTTATGCTGAAAACTGAGAGGTGAGAACCTGCCTATTTTCCGGAGCAGGGTGCAGTGCAGTTTGGGTGGTACTGTACTTGTACTCGTATCATAAGGCTTGTGTTTTGAAAGAACTCCTTTCTTAAAAAAAAAACACTTTGACGCTACGAGTACAGTACAGTACATTAGCGCGAGTTAAGTTAAGGTAAGGCAAGGGCGCGGAGAGGAGGGGTAGGTAGATAGATATCATTTGGCTATTTTTACAATTATCATATGGCACTACTGCGCACCATATCATGGTGCCATTGTCAGTCAGTGCCTTCACGCAGTGCAGTGATAGCAGCGGTAGAGAAATTTTGCGCCATGTTGTGCCACTTACAGTACAGCACTGTACTGTACAGAACTCTACAGGCACAAATCATATTAGCCGTCTTATATATATATTTCTCGATTTCCCTAAAAAAGTCTCCGGGGGCGTGAAGAGATGCGGTGCATCATCTACCTCCTCGAGCTTAAATGGCCACCGTATCTTCCTGCCAATTCCGGTGATTTGTGAGAGCGGTGGATTATACCGTATCCCGAGACATCTAATCTAGCAAAATGGGTGGCGAGTTTATTTTTCAGGTTATGTACGACGGTTCCCCTCTTTCCCCTTCCCCCCAACTCTCTCTCTCTTCCCTTCCGGTAGTACCTTGTAGATACTGTATTATGAAAGGAAAGATCGGTCAATTTCTGGTAATGTGGAAGGAGAGAGAGAAAAAAAAAAGGTTTCCTTCCTTTTGTTTTGTGCACATGTCGGGCCCATGTTTCAAGCTGACCCAGTTACCCGGGTACGGGGGCGAGTGATCGGACGGCAAGGGGGAATTTCTGTACTGTAAGCCGGATATTATGATACCTGCCCCCACATGGGAAATAAGAGAAATGGGGTCTCGGTGGTGGAGATTGCTCAAACGGGTGAGAAAAAAAAAAGCTTTTGATAATATTGCGATGCATATCATAACTAATCTTTTTCTTTTTGGTTGTACCATCACCCAGGTTCCGTGTCCCGGTAGATGTCCGTATCGTTGTAATATCACACCCGTGATCTTTTCCATCTACCGGTCTTCTCGATAGGCCAGGCCGTTGGTTGGTTTCGGGGGGTTCCAGAGGCGTCATTATTACGTGCCAAGCTTCTTTCACTCGAGGAGTGGCACAGTATCCTTTCTTCTTTTTGCGGTTGTCAACAAAGGGCTATATTTGTCGGGGATATCATAATACGGAAATCTTTTTTCAGCCCTGCCCAAATTGTGGTGACGATGGGAAATAACGGTGCTAAGCATCGACCCCGGACGCGGTGGGGGTGAGGCACAAGGGGGAAAGAAGTCTGTGCTGTACGAAGTGTACTTCCCCGGTACTGTACTAGTACAGTACGGGTGCAGTACAAGCACCGCATCAAGATTGGGATACCCGTTCCGTGGACTCCGCGTCGAGCGTGCCAGTACGACAGAGTATCATATCGCGGATCAACCAACCCATAAAACACTGGTAGAGTAGAGTACACCCGGCGCCGTGCCATACGGACACAAACCCTCCTTACTGCCATGCATGCAATGCACCCCCCGGTCCCTGGGTACGATACTGTGACTGTAATATCTATCGTGGACAAACGCCTTTCACTACGTGTCCGCTTGGACCGGCTAATTAACTGAACGCAAGGGGGTGTTTATATCGTGTCATGGTTTCCAGCCTACCAGTTCGACTCCCACAGAAAAAGGAGGGAGGAAGAAGGAAAGAGAAGGGAAAACGTGACATCGCGGCTGCGCTTCGCGTCTAGAAAGCCTTTTGGCCCTCTATTTTTTCTTTTCCTCTCTCCTCCTCTTCCCTTCCCTCCTCTCCAATGGCCGGTACGGCAGCGTGGTCTACCGTGGGCGTGTAGGGGAACCGGCCAATGCGGTAAGGTACCGTGGATGCACGGGATTTGTAAGACTGACAGCACATAGCGAAACCCATTCTGGAAGCACACAAACCCACGCACACCCACACAGACGCCTGGGCGCACACACCAGCACCCACTGACAAGGCCAAAAATACGCACCTACGCACTGGAGGGGGGATGCGAGAAGTGGTTACCAGTACTCGAGTATGTGGGAGGATGGGATTTGTTTGTCTTTGTTTTTTCCCTTCCCTTTCGACTCCCGCTTCGCCTCTGGTTGGCCCCAGTGCCTTGTGGGTGCTCTCTCTCCTCCTCTTCTCTTTATTCCTGGAAGCGTTGGCTGGGCGTGGGATATATCCTCTCACTGCCCTGCCCTTCCTCCTCTTCCCCTCCCCCTCTCTCTGCTTACGGTGCTCGCGCTTGCTGCGTTTGGTGGAGTCGGGAATTAATTGGAGGCTTATAATATTATAATACGTCCCCGGTGTCCCTTTTTTACTCGATCCACTTATTATTACCCCCCCCACCCACCGCCGCAAATACTTTCCCTTGGTCCTACCGCCCACCTCTCCAGACAACTTGACGCTCTCACACCTCACCGAGTGACCGATGCGGAGTGGGTGCGATTCTGGCATCTATTATATACTCGGTTGCCAGCCCATCTCATCACGGCAGCAGCATCAGCACCAGCAGCACCAGCATCATCATCCCTCGCATCCCGACGAACATCCCTCCATCCTAGACCTGGTTGTCTTCGGCTTGCTGGTCAACGACTTTGGATCGTTCAAACGCACAAACGACGGGGAAGCGACAACGGAACGGTAAATATATATACATATATATATATATATATATATATATATATTAGGAAAGAGTTGGTTATGGGGCAGACGCCTAGTTCTGGATTCCCGATCTACCATATGGAGGCCCACACAGTCATCAAAGCGTTGGAGTACATCAGCCAAAAGTTGTGCAGGAAGGGGATCCACGTTCATTTGATCGTCGCCGGGGATGCGCTATCCTGTCTACTGTTCAAGTCGAGGCCCACAACGTATGTTTTTTTTTAACTCTTTTGCTCTTGTCGTGATTGTTTTGTCCCCCCGTAGCCTTGACCATGGGTGTTGATCGATTCGTTGGCGTGATATGCAGTCACTCGATAAGCATCCTCCAGGCGTCGGCACTCTCACCCCGCTCACTGTCCGTCCTCTTCGACGCCGTGCACCGCGCCCAGAAGAAATTCGGGTTGACGAACGACTGGGTGAACACCGACCTGAGCCGGCAGGTGGACAGCGACTACCTGGACTACGTCGTCCACAAGAGCCTGCTGCAGAACGAGATAGTCTTCTCCTCGGAGGGGCTAACGCTGGTGGCGGTGGACCTCTGCTTCGCCCTGAAATCGAAGCTGGAATCCCTGACCAACAAGTTCACGCAGAAGGACATCGAGGACGCCGTCGTCCTGCTTCGCCGACTGGTGGTGATCTACCGGGGCAGGCCGCTGACCAAGGGATACATACGCATGAGCTATCCGCGGATGGAGGTCTCGGATCAGATCCTGCTCAGGCTGAACGAGCTGTACGAGTGGCAGTATCACACCAGGGGTGTCGCCGGCGTGCACGACGAGTACATGGAGTGGAGGAGGGAAGGCATAGTGGACTGGTCGTTCGGGATCGAGGATCTGAAGCGGGATCTCTCGGCTTGCGCGCCGCTGGAGAAGGGGCTATATTCCTGGAGGGATAAACCCTTGCCTGATACCCCGTATCGGGAGGACTTTGCCGAGATTTTTACGCAGCAGAAGGTCTATTGATTGGCCCGCTGCCCTATCCATTGTTCCATTGATTTTACGGGCGAACGGGCGGGGCGATAACTGACTTTTTTTCAAAAAAAAAAAATTCATTTATTCATTCACGACAGAGACGAACGGATTGGGTTGGATTGGGTGTGCATACGGTTGGGCGGGTAAAAGATTGATTTTTGAGCGGTTTCGTTGCCTAATTTTTTTTATCCTCTTCATTTGTTTATTTTTACTAACCTTCTTCTTATTCCGTCCTGCTCCTCTTTAGCGCCTCATACATTTTATCTCTTCTTGTCTTTTCTTTCATATCCATCTTTTCTGTATATATAACCTTTTCTCTCTTCTCTACATTCGTTCATACCCCTCGGCTCTGGTTTTCTCCAGGGGGGTTGGTTGGTTGGGCGGTCTCGGTGCACGGAGTTTTTGCTTTTCTTCTTCTTCTATTCCCTTCCAACTTTGTACTTTTTCCTACTTGTACCGTCACTACTGTACTAGTACCATCTCCTGGACACCAAATCGATGGCGCACCACAATCATTTCACGAGAATTATCATACCATAGCCCTTTTCCTCATTGCAAGGGTATACCGATAACCCGAATTATCAGTCCATCGTAATTCCTATTCACTCCCATCATTCCGCTTACCGGGGTGCGGTCGCATGGCACAGGTACGAGTACTTTTTGTCCACCAACAATTCCCATCCAAAACCTCCCTGTACCACAAGGACCAAACAAACCTTCCGCATCCACAAAAACTACGTGTCTACCCCGTGACATATCAATCCCCAGAACCCCCGCTCACCCCATACTCGTACCTCCGATTACTTGTAAAGAAGCAACGAAAGGAAAAGAAGGGAAAAAAGAAAAAAGAGGGAAGGCACTTCCCTCCCCAACGCACCGTTTCCAAAGATCTCAAGTGGAACATCGAGTCAGCCCTCTGTTGGTTGGTTGGCCAGCAGGAAGGAGAAACCCAGTTCAAAAGTACGAGCCCCATCCCAGGAAAGAAAGAGAAAAAAAACCTGCGCGGCAGAGGCGTGTGAGTGTGTGCGCGCTCCTCATCCATCCATCCATTCATCCATCCATCCATCCATCCATCCCAGCTCCTCCCATCAATGCATTAAAAGTGGGGGCGGGTTGGTTGGTTAGCTCAAAGGAACAATCCGGAAGAAATGATTGGTTGGTTGGAGTGTTTTTTTTGTTTTTGTGTTCCCTCTATCTGGGGGGGAGGGAAGAGATGGGGGTGGGAAAGGGAAAAAGGACCTTGCAGAACTTTGTCCGTTTGGGATCCCGAACAAAAGTTTACCGGTAACTTACTGTGAGTACCGTACATGTACATGTACATGTACTTGTACCGGTAGGTAGGTTATTTCTTAGACATTTTTCGCCCAACGGTTCCTTTGTATCATACGAGTAACCGACCGGTATGGTATGTACAGTATGCGAGAGTGATCCTGGCTATCGAGGATTTGTAATGTGCTGTGCTGTAGTGTGGGCGAATCCGTTTTTTGCCCCCAACTTATCGTATCGTATCGTCTTTCCGAACGGGCGCGGGGGGGGGGAAGAGGGGGTTACAAGTAAAGTGTATTGGTACTCGTACAAGGCTGGAGAGATCGTTGCACGATACTGTACCGTACCGATACGAACTATCATATCATACTCGAGTACTGTACCAGTACGGTAATCGTAGGTCACTTGGACAAATGGTCGCACCACCCCCCCCCCCGCAACGTTCGGGACGGTACAACTTTGTGCTACTCGTAATATGGTGGGTGCTACGTACCTTACCTCACCTTACTGCACCGAGAGATGTCATAGTCTACTCGTACGGTACGGTAACTGGTGAGCATGCCTTGTGGTTCGTCTCAACTTGCTTGCGTGGAGATAACTTTACTCCTCCCACGCATACTATAGTACCGTACACTAGTAGATCAGTAGATCCTTGAGTTCTTTCTGTTGCAGGAGCTGTGCTACAGTACGGTATTTATGGAGGGAAGAAGACAGACAAACCTTCGTGAATTGAGAAGTGCTTCTATCCTTCCTTATTCGGTGGAAACACCGAATCAACCTTTTTTTTCATTGCACTTTTTTTCAAGCCTGGCGGATCTTAGGCAACGAGTGTTTACAGCTTGACTGACGAAAGCCCCCTGCGCCAAAGAATGCCGACACCATCTAGCGAGAAAAACCCATCACAGTAATCTTCGGTACAGTACTCGTACACTGCGGTAAGGTAAGGTAAAAAAAAAAAAAACTCACGTCTTCAGAAACGACCCATCGCTACCCGCTACCGACCGTGACTTCCCCCTTCTTCCATCCATCCATCCATCCAGCCCCCCCCCCCTATCGTGACTACTGTACAGTACCGGTGGGAGTGGGCTCAACCTTTGCATTAATCACGGTAACGGTAAATTCGATAAGCGTTCCGGAATATTCGCCACGATATCTCCGGCGGAAAGGAGGAAAAGGTGCACACTGCGCCACGGGGGTGAGTGGGCAAGAACCGGGTTTCCGGGTGTGAGCCAAGTTTCGTATGCTGCTCTGGATAGCGGGCGAGCAAGAAAGCAAGCACCGTCATGTACTGTACTATACCCGGCAGCGGAAGGCTATATTTGAATGTTTCTTTTCTTTCATTCATTCTTTCTTTCTTTCATATGTCGTTTAGGAATGTTTCGCGAGATCCACTTTTTCCGGTGGGAGTGGGGTTTGTCCAGTCTACCCTGCTCTCCTCCAGGGGAATAATAAGGAAAAGGTCATGACGATACTCTAGCACAATACCCCAGTTTTAGTCTATTTTTTATTTTATCTCCGTCAGATGGGATGCGCGTTTCAGCTGGTGATTGATGAAGAGTACTCGAGTAACGTAACGGTAGTCCAGTGGCTGTGGCATTCGTCGTGATATCACCACATCACTATAATATAGTAACTGCCCTGCAGGCTAGCTGTATACATCACGCTGTTGATTACCGTGATCCGTCAATGCGCTTTTCGCCGGTTGCCGCCTATAACATCGCAACCGGTACACTTACCGGAATTCGATGAAACAGACGCCTTCAACCTTTTTCACGGGCAGGGGGTAAAAAAAAAAGGGGGGGAGGAAAAGAGGTGGGACGGTTACCGCTACCGGCAACCGTTCCTGCGGTCACCTTTTTTCCTTTTCTTTTTCCCCCATGTCCGGTACGTGAACCCGGGGAAAAAGGTAATCCCGACCATAAACTTGAGTACCGTACCGGTCGGTATCTTGAACGTGCCCCCCCTCGCGTCGTACGGTATTGCACTGTACTACACACGCAGCGGGAGCGAGCGAAAAAAAAAAAGTACCCTTTTTCCCCCTGAGCCTGAAGTGTGGAGAGGAAGGAAGGATGGAAGGATGGAAAGGAAAGATGGGAAAAGAAAACACAGTCAGTCAGTAAAACAAAACCCCTGTAGTTTTTCCTATTTTCCGCTTCCACTCGCTCGCTCGCTCGCTTCCCTTACCTTACCCACAACCTCCCCCACCCAAACGAGTGATTTAATGATCAAGCTTCAATCGTGGCACTCGAACATAGCCTAACTCGATCCATTTTCTCGCACGGGGTATATAGAGGCGGTGCAAAATGCAAAAATACCCGAATCGGTATGGGGATTAGTAGTGTACTAGTACAGTTATGTCCCGCCACAGCAACTATTTTCGGCAAAAAGTCGTGTATGCACCGCTGCGCCACCAATCGAGTGAGTGTTGATGAAGACCTCTTTTCTTTCTTTCTTTCTTGCTCGCTCGCTTGCTGAGGCTACCGGTATAGCAAAGCGCTTGGTAAGAAAAAGGCGAAGCGGGAGCGGAGTAATAAATAAATGAATAAATGAATAAATGAATGAAAATCTCCCGGGAGGGTGGGGCGTCGATTACGGTAGCGCACGTTTAGGAGTGTCGGTTGGATTGGTCCATGTGGATATGTGGCTTGTGGAGGGGGGGGGGGGGGGGCTTATTCACTTATTCATTTATTTATCTGGGCAGTAAGCAACGGGGCGGTTAGGAATTCCCTTTTAGCCTTTTTATCGGATATCTTGTATTGTATTCTTTTCGCCTGTTCTGGGGGAAACTTTTGGAGGATGGGATGGGGATACTCGGTCATTTTGGAGGAATGTGGGTGTTTTTTTTTCTTTTTTCTTTCCCGGTTGTGGTAATTTTTTTCGATTTCGATCTGGGGGGGCAGTGGGGGAGGGGAAGAGTTTACTTAGTGTAGTTAGTGGAGGGGATATATGTTTGCCTATCATAGGTATGATATGATATGATATTATATGATACGCCTTCCCCTGTTGGGATAAAATTACCCCGATGGGCTGAGGTTGGAGAGAGTATCATACGAATGGGGGTGAGTGAGTGAGTGGTGGTGGGGAGGACGAGGGCCTTGATATGTACGATACTACGGTATGGGTATTTTACACGTATCTGCTGGTGAGTGGAGGGGAAGAGGGGAAGAGCGTCTCTCTCCCCGATCCTCCACTGAGATCTGTGATACCCGCTTGGAACGCACACACTCGCTGATTAAAAACTGTTGTACACTAATATTTGGTGCTCCTCTGCTCTACCCCCGCGGGTGCGCGCTTGATGCTGGCTTATATAATTGGGCCTTCGAGTCAATTTCTATAGCGAGAACCCCCTTCTTCCCCCCCGGCTGCTGCATACTCTCTCACGTGTATCTCTGCTGGAGCGTTTCATCCTGGGGAAATCTTAATGGTAGCTCATGATATGCAACTGGATATGGGCATCGATAGATTGAAAGACTGTAACCATAGATGATCTTGGCGGTATCATGTAATATCATGATTTCCACCAAATTGGAGATCCCCTCTTCTAAAACCGTCTACATGTTCGGTACAAACCCACGCACAGACCCTCCTCCCATGCTGTACCGGTACGATGCAGATACTTGCGAGAGATGGACCAGGAGGCTTTATGCACTGGCTTTATTTTATGCACACACACACCCACACACCCGGCAGCCAAAAGTGAACCCGATCGAAGATTTGGAATGGCATGCACTCGTGTCACGAATAGCCAAGCAACCATTGGCCAATTCCGTTTCCACCAAACTTTGTTTTCTTTTCCTCACTTCCTTTCTTTTTTCTCTCGTTTCTTTTAGCTTTTTTTTTCACTCTCTGCTTTCTTCTTGCCCTTCATTCCTTTTTGGAGATGGGCGCGGGGTTCTGCGTGCATTGGTGGTGGTGGTGGTGGTGGTGATGGTGGCGCACCGCATAGGGTTCTAGCTCTCGTCTCCGTCAGTGCTATTTGCAGCGAGCGAATAGAGACGCAATCAAAGTTTGCCCATCCATAGTGGTGGTGGGAGTCGCCGGGCCATTGGGATTTCACGCTCGAGCCACACGGCACAGCAATAGCAGGCAAGCCCTCCACAGGCGAGGAACCGCATAAAGATAGATATGCAGATGGGGGGGGGGGATATTAACCCTCATCTCGTGGGAGCAGAGTTAAGCTATTTCAATCCCGCATTTCAACGCTCGCCGTCGTCTCGTGGGTGATGGATTCTAACTCTGTACCGTGATTTCGTGCTAC